AAATCTGCACCTTTACATTGTTAGAACTAAATGAATTCACCAGTATAGAGATACATGTAAGCCAAGCTGCTCATCGATGCAGACTAAACCGGTTGTGTACTTATGGCTGACTTACTTAGAAATTTGTATCTTGATATTCCAAGATCGATAGACAGTTCTAAACTTATGGAAGTTTAAAAAAGTGCTTTTTACCAATTCAGCCGTTTAGGATTGCAAATACGTACGGTATGACTAGTGTCAGAATTGTCGGCTGCTAAAACTTGAACTATTTTTGTTCCTGCAGTCAATAACATTACCTTTACTATTACAAGTAGGATGAGAAGAATATACAAATTGAATGTGTACTTTGACATAAATGCCACCAGGTTAGTATTATATATCCCCAATATTTTATGCACATAAAACGTTTTTGAAACGCTCATATTTTGCAAAAATAAATAATTCTATTATATACATAGACTGAAAAGAAGAAAAAAATCTCAAACTCAAAATTTTCCAATTAATAAAATATGATCTTTCTAAAATTTAATTGCGGACTTAAAAGGACGAAGACTGATCCCCGTTTGGATTGCATTACTGTTGTTGTTAATAAACCAATTCAAGGTTAAACTGAAAAATGGCCTCCTTATCAATAAGGAAATGTCATATTTTTTAAGTCTGCCCTTTAGATAAGGGCGGACTGCTCTTTGACCTTTTTTTGTTAGAGAAGGGGAATCATGTGATGCGTGTATGTGGTCACACGGTCACTTTCCATATAACATGTCCTCGATGCATGTATGTGGTCGCATGGTCGAAAATCTCTGATAAAATGACAAGGTTTTCATTGCACAATCTTTATGTTAAAATAACTGTTTAACTCAAAATTAGGAGTTTTAAGGCTATTTAGAACTTACTTACTTCTATTAAGGACTTTGAAAAGTCAAGGTCTTTGATACTGAAAAAATGAAGAGATAAAAAGCCTTATTAAAACTTTGTTACTACATGTGCCAGTTACAGCTGATTTTGTTACTTATTATAAGGAGAAATAAACATATTAAGTTCAATTTTATAGTTCTTAATAAGGAGTTTGAAATACCTAATTAGAATATTAAAACATCATTTTTATTTCTTCTAATAAGTTTTTTAAAATTTCTAATTGGGACATCCAGTATAGACATGGTTGGTACGATATTTGATAAACAGCAGAAAAATTTAACTCTTTTGTATTCCGTAAACTTCATTTTGAATATGAAAAGAATCGTTTTAATATAAGAAAATTCAAAAATGCACCAGAAGACTAAGATTTTATAGGTAGAAACCGGGAGATTTTATAATGTGTCACCACCGCTCGTATTTGTAAACTTTGTGACATGGGTTTTGAGACTGAGTTTCATTTCGTTCTTATGCATCCAGTTCATAGCAATTAAATAAACATATATTTCAAAGAAGAAAAAAAAACGTTTGTTCACAACAAATTAAATATTCTCATAACTTCACATTATGATTTTTGACTATTGGACTTCCGCAATTCCATTTTGGTACCATTCAATACAATACAACATTAATTGAGTTAGTGCATATATTATCCATTCCCTATAATAATATCAGGTTTGTTCTGTCGTTTAAATGTGTATGTTACATGTTTTTTTAAACCGTTCTCTTCTAGGCATTATTTTTGTTTCCGTGTGAATAATATGTTGTAATGGACGTTTAGTCTACATCAAATGGAAACATTTTAGTTCGTTTAATATACTACTCATCTTTTGCTAAGGCTAAGCACGATAAGTTAATTTTTATATAATCTTTTTTGAAATTTTTGATTCAGCAATGTTTTAAGATAGTCCCCTGACATGAATCCTAGTTGACTAATCCAGGTAGCATAGAAAGCACACACCCCAATATTTTCATGTTTTGTTTGGGTGTACGATCACATGTCTTTTGTTATACGGCGACATTACCGGCTTATTGTCATTCAGTGTCTTACATGTGTCACTTCAGTATAGAGAATGCTTACACAAGACGGCATTTTAGAGAAGCATAGTTATGGAGGGATGTAGAGATGGTGCAGCAGGGGACAGCCTTCCGCCAGGTTGGTGCGGCGCTCGATGTACCCTTCACCTTCATCATCTGATCCAGGGAGAGGTACCGGTTACATGGTTCACCTGCCAGGAGGCATGCTGAAGGTCGGCAAACGGTCAAAACACCAGCTCAGGATCGATTTTTGATCGTTTTGACACGTCATGCAAGATTTTTGCCAGCAACTTCTCTTCAAATGACATTGTTTATGCTGCAGGGGTCCTTGTTTCCACGCAGACGGTACGTAGAAGGCTGCATAATGGTAATTTGCGGTCGAGAAGACCTTGCATACGTATCCTCTTGACGTGTCGATATTGCCAAGCACGTTTGGAATGGACCATCGAGCATACACAGTGGACCATGCTACACTGGAGACACGTTCTGTTCACTGATGAGTCTATTTCATGCTAGATTTCATAGATTGGCGTGCTAGGGTCTGGAGAAGACGAGGTGAACAATTTCAGGCTGTAATTATTGCTGAGCATGACCGCTACGGGGGTGGGTCAGTTATTGTTTGGGGAGGCATCATCTGGGATGGACGAACCAACCTGGTTGAACTAAATAGAAGCACATAGACAATTCAGTGATACATAGACGACATCTTAGACAACAAGGTTAGGTTGTATACTGGACAATAATGCTCGCCCCAAAGGGCCAGGGTGGTCAAGCACTTTCTGGAGAGAGAGTCTATTGAGCGCATGGACTGGCAATCTCGCTCACCTGACTTCAATCCAAAAGATCAGCTGCAACCCAAAACCCGCCCCCAGAAGCTTTGAGCCATGTTGGTCCAAGAATGGGCAGTCATACCCGAATCCTAATAGGGAGAATGAGAAAGTGCTGTTAAGCTGTCATTGATAGTCACGGGTACCACACACGGTACTTAGTTTAAACTGTAAAAAAATAACAAATTTGAAAAACACGCTGCATGATTTGAAATCTTCAAAGAGGTTGATCATTCTCTTCGATAGCACAAAACCAGTGTAAAACTCATTTATAGGTTTCAATTCGTCCTTCAGCTGAATTGATAAAACAGTAAATCAACATTTAAAACCTTTCGCACGGCGTTTATAAAATTATCCCAAAAATATTTACACTCAGATATGTGATAATTAGCAAAAGTTTAGTAATATATTTACACCAGTTATGCATTGATTTATCCCTGAAATATAATAATTCTTTTCTCCTAAGATATACTAAGTTTATGAAACAAATCTCTTTGATTGATAATTTGTACTGAAAAAAATAGTTTTTGTTCTTTAGTGAGGCAATAAACATTTATGATTAACATAACATGTTTATGCTGAAAAGATATCATTAGAAAACAAACTTTCGTAAGAAATATAATCTTGATATAAAATATGTTAAAAGATAAAGTTGGAAACCATTAGCTTCTGGCTGCCTGTTTATCAAGCCAACACGTGTTCGTTTATCATAACTGTTGATAAAATCATTGAAATTGGAAATTAAGTATTGCTTGTTTGTTTCTGGATTTTTCTTCAAAAGAATGAGATGTTGTTCCATGCGTTTTTGAATCAATTCGTACTAAACAAGAAAACAATTTAAATGTGAGATTCAAAGTGGTATTGAAAATATCAGACATGGATAGAATCTATCATTTGTGCTCAGTTTTGACATTTTTTATTATATGTTCTAAACTGTCTTCTGCTGCGGAAACCAAGTTGACCATGAAATTTATTTTTGATCATTGTCGCGTCGCTTGGATAACTTAGCGTTTGAAATACAGTAAGTATTTTCCGTCATTTTATCCTTTGTCGTGCCATGTATATTTTTGTTTTATTTTTAAAATGTCTTCTGCTGTGGAGACCAAATTGACCATGAATTTTTTTTTCTATTTCTTTAGGTATTTCCCGTCTTTATAGTTTTGACTGTTGCATACTGTATATATAATTTATTTTATGTTTAATATCACCGTAGCGGTGGAAACAAAACTGACAATTACATTATCTTTTGATTATTTTTGTCACGTCGCTTGGATCATTTGAAATACAGTCAGTATGTCACGTCAGTATAGATTTTTTTGTACTATATATTTTTAATGTGAACAATAACAACAAGAACCGGTTGAACCGGGTGATGCTCCCCGAATAGGTTTTGGACACAGGAAAGTATACCTATTGTAGTGTCAGAGTTTTATCACAGACAGAGTTCAAAGCGTAAAAATGATTAAAGGACAATAACTCCAAAATTAGACAAGGCAGAGTTAAGGTTCTTTTGCACTGTACTTCTATTTAATGAGATCAATCTACCTACAATTTTTCATTTTTTCATTTTGATACTTCTAATGGTTTTAGATGTATGTCCCGCACAAAGTTCAAAGTGTAAAAATGAACAAAGACCAATAACTCTAAAATGAGTCAAAGCAATGTGACGGTTTTTTGCACTGCACTACCACCCAATGGGATCTATCTACCTACAAAAATTCATGTTGATATCTTTTATACTTTAAAGGGCTTTGTCCTGGACAAAGCTTAAAGTGTAAAAATGAACAAAGGGCAATAACTCAAAAATTAGGCAATACAGAGTGTCTATTCTTTTGCACAGAACTTTTACTCAATGGGCTCTATCCACCTACAAAGTTTCATGTTGATATTAAATATACTTTTAGAGTTATATCCCGGACAAAGTTCAAAGTGTAAAAATGAACAAAGGGCAATAACTCAAAATTTGGCATGACAGAGTAATGGTTCCTTTGCATTCCACTTCTACTTATTGAGATCTATCTAGCTACAAAGTTTCGTGTTGATTCCTCTTGTTGTTTCAAAATTATGTTCCGGACAAGAATAGCGGACGGACGGACGGACGGACAAAGCGGCGACTATATGCTCACTCTTTGGGGAGCATGAAACCCAACTACAAAAAGTCAAAACATATTTAATTAAACCGTTTCGTTTATATGAAGTGCTTTCAGAATGGACTCTCAAAAGCGTATGGAAGATATGGATACTAAAATAAAAGACAATATACCGCTCCGAAAACCTGACTCTTCTGAAATCTTAGACAAAGGGCAAATACAAAGAGAAATCAACCAAGAAATGGAGAAACATGCCAATGTTATTCATAGAATGTTATCAGCCGAGAAGAAAGCCATGTACGATATGAGGGTGCTATTCAGTAACCAGTGGAAAAACGTCAGTCTCAATGAACATCGAATTCTTTCCATCAACAAATCATGTGCAGATTTAAGAACGGATTTTGATAGTTTTGAAGACGCTATCAACACTAAAGTAGGAGAGTTAAGTATGAAACTAGGTACAATTCGTATCATAGTCAGTCCAAAGGTACATTAATATTCAAATGAAAGTACTCTTTTAAGCAAGACAATTTTTGGCTTTAATTGGTTAACGTTTCTAGTTCAAATTGCAAAAAAGTTTGAATTAAACAATTCAGGAATAGTGTCTATACTTACAGCACAACCTATCTTCTGATAAAATTAAGGCGTCATAATTAACTTTCTCGTCGGTTTTTCTTATGGTGCGTAGTATACAAAATATCCAATGCTGTCGGTGTGGCATTTCCTCAAAAATGAAAAAAAGGCGGAATAGTATGTATTTATACTTATTTGATTGGTATTCAAAAATATGAAAGTCGTTTTTTATCTAATTTTTGCTTTACACCGATTTTGTTTATTTTATTTTATTATCATGTTTTCTCATCCTAGCAAGTTTCATATATTTTAATAACAGATAGGTCAATATTTATTTTCTCTAATTAAATGAATTAATAGTAATATGTATACTCGTATATTTATAAAAATTTTTAAAGTACATGTAACTGGATTTGATGAGTCTTTCTTGCTTGAATTAAAACTCTAGACATACACAAATACTTTTTAATTTCAGATTCCGTGGAAAAATATACAATCAAAGTTGAGAAAGGTGAACCAGGTCAGAGTGGTTCAGATAGATATGCAGGCATAAGAGGACCACCAGTACGATAACTTCAATATCAGAATATTTTAAAAAGTGTCTCATATCAAAAATAAAACAAAGCTTAACTTGCACGACCAAAGACTAACAGTTTTTAAAGGTTTTTTGTACAGTTTTCGAGAAGTATTTATTGTCTCTAAGATTATGTCTGTCTTTACCAATATTTGCAAAATTATTGCATGCTAAGGTAATTCTGTTATGAATAGCTGAACACACACTTGTGCAAACATAACTCAAATGATTGTGAAAAAGAATACAAGCGAGGTTTTACGCACGCATTAATTTAATTTTTTGAAACCATGTCCGCATAGCACTATTCAAATCATCTAAAATGAAAAATACAAAACTTTTAAAGATAAATTTCTTCAAAACGAACTTGTTTCCTATTTTTTTTAAGACTCAACAAATGAATATTTTGAAAACAGCTATTACACCAATGCGTTTTGTCCAAATGTTAAACAGGGTTTTACGTCACATCGACACAGTAAAGGTGATATCGCGACGTTCCAGCTTTACTGGTGGAGGAAGACCTCAGGTGCACTTCCGTTCATTATTTCAGGCACGAACGGGCACCTGAATAGAACCACCGACGTTCCGTAAGCTAGCTGGATAGCTTCCTCACATGAAAGAATCCAAAGTCCCTGTCGGGCTTCGAACCCACAGCGGTGAGGATCATGTGTTTGAAGTAAACAACCTTAACCACTCGGCCACGGACGCCCCTTAAACAGTTCTCCTTAAGGAGTAGATAACGTGTTTACGCTTTTTTTTTTTAAATTTTAGCCTGGTTCGACGATATTAAATTCACAGACAGTTGCACAATCGATTTAAGAAACATTGACATTCCAAAAATATTTTGCAATAAAATTGGTCATGAAGTGTAAATCTGGTGTATGCGATGTTTTTATGTATGCTTTATTTGACTTCTTGCAAAATATGTCATTCCGCAGTAAATTATGCGTCTTATAAAAGACATATAAGACTCGGCTGCTTCGCAGCCGATTAATGAAATAAATTTTGCAGGGCATACCTGGCAGAGATGGGTTAGCTGGGCCTCCAGGGCCGACGGGCAATACAGGGCCGAAGGGCGAAAAAGGACAAAGTGGATATGTGGTGAGATAGCTTCGTTACCAATATATTTTAAACAACACCTAATGTTAAAGATAATAGTTGGCTTGACTTGCACCTTAAGAGCTAGATCGAAGATATTTAGCATGAAGCATCTTCAAATGGGTGTCTACCATTTTTGTTCAAATAAGGGCCATGCGGTTAAAATTGGCTCCGCCCTGGGAATCATTGATTTTCCTTATATATATATATATAGTAAAAACCTTAAAAAAACTTCTATTAAAAAACCCAAAGAGCTAGAGTTTAGAGATTAAGCATGAATTATCCTGTAGTGTCTACCAAGTTTGTTCAAAGCCCTGATACAAAATTGGCCCGCTCAGAAGGATGTGTCATTGTTTTTCCCTATATGTGTATAGTAAAAACTTAAAAAATCTTCTTAGAGCTAGAGCCTAGAGCTTAGATATTTATCATAAAACATCTTCAAATTGGTGTCTACCAAGTTTGTTCAAATAAAAGCCCATGGGTTAAAATTGGCCCGCCCCAGGGGCCTATATACACGTGAGCGTCTTCAGGGCCATCATGGCCCTCTTGTTAAATGATATATACCGTTTTCATTTAGTATCTATTGTTTCAAAGAATTCGTGTTTACAAACGTTTACTATAATATAGAATGCTTTGATAATAATATAATATTTATAAATGAGCACACACTTGTACAAACATTATTAAAAAAATAAAATGAATTACTACGAAAACAAATTTGCAGGGTGAACCTGGCAGAGATGGGCTTCCAGGTTTAAAAGGGCCACAAGGCAATACAGGACCAAAGGGTGATAAAGGAGATGAAGGTCCAGCGCACAAACTCTCACAGACTGTAAGTGAGAATTATGATTTCAAGTGTTTTGTGAAATATAAAGCTAAACTAGACCTGCCTATTCTGATTGATAGAATCCATTATGCATCTATATTTTACCTTTAAGGGATTGGAATAACAATATATTTATATTAACGCAATTAGTTTTCACATTTTGTGCCTTAAATCAGTTCGGAGCTAGTTTACAGATAGTTAAAATGCAACGTATCATTTACCGTATAATCGATTTACAAAAGAAATAAGTTTTGTTTTTCATGTTTGAATAATACCCGTTTTTATTGTTAAAAAATAAAAATTCCACTTCATCTTATGATTGAAACAAGGGCAACATTGTCGCAAAGTATGCCCGTCACTGAAGCTTTTAAGATATAGGCATTATATATATGCATATAGGAGATATGCTCTGGGCAATATCCGGAAAATATATGGATATATTATCATCTCTAGTGTTATTGACCTTCATATATTAACTTTATTTACATGTGTTACACTTGAACTCATGATAGTTATTGTTTGTGTGACCTCGACTTTGGTAGTAGGGACCTGGATTTTATGCGCAATATGCCTCACAATGATGAAAATTTGCGTCTAGTTACATTAAATTCTTCTGGTGAATGAAGAAGTTCGGCTCCGAACAAGCATTTTTCAATGACGTCTAAGTGTGACCTTAACCTTTAACCTAGAGACCTGGTTCATGTATTTGACACTGCTTCTCATAGTACTGAACATTCCTATGAAGCTTCATTTGAATCCCACAATGCGTGGAGAAGACAAGTTCTGGACAAAATGTCTTTATTTTATCATCTTTAGTGACATTGACCTTGTCTATATTAACCTAAATTACATGTTTCACACCAATTATTATGATAATGACCATTTGTGTTTCAATCCTTCAATAAATGATTACTAAATTGTCCGTAGATACATTTTCATGTTTTTATCAAAACTTTGACCCCTATGTATGACCTTGACCTTGGCGACAGGGACATTAATTTTACACATGACACTCCGCCTAAAAATGTGATCATTTGTGCCAAGTTATATTGAAATCCCTTTATGTGTGTAGAAGTTTTGATATCCCCAAAGTGTGACCTTGACCTTTGACCTAGAGATCTGGTTCATACACATAACACTGCTTCTCAAAGTGGTGAAAATTTGTATGAAGTTTATTAGAATCCGTCTATATGTGTAGGAGATATGCTCTGGTTTTAATCTCTATATTTTATTATCTTTGGTGACCTTGATTATCATCTTTAGTGACATTGACCTTGCATATATTAACCTAAATTACACGTTTCACACCAGTAGTTATGATAATGACCATTTATGTTTCAACCCCTCAATAAATAATGACTAAATTGTCCGAATACACATTTTCATATTTTTATCTGAACTTTGACCCTGATGTGTGACATTGACCTTTGTCGCACGGACTTAATTTTTGCACGCATTACTTTGCTTTACAATAGTGAACATTTGTGCCAAATTATATTGAAATCCCTCTATGCATGTAGAAGTTTGATCGGGAAAAGCGTTTTCTATGACATCTTAGTGTGACCTTGACCTTTGACCAAGCGACACGGCTTCTCATTGTGGTTAAAATTTCTATAAAGTTTCATTAAAATTCCTCCATGCGTGTAGGAGATGTGCTCCGAACAAAAATCAGACGCTGCCCGCCCAGCCGCCAGGGGAGAAACTATAATACGACCTGTTTTTCAAACGGGCGTATAAAAATGTTGTGATATGTCCTTACTGCTAGTATTCTAATGCGAAATTGCTATAATTTAGCTGTTATGGCTAGCTTTCAGGTGTTTTAGCTGACAGGTGATTTTATTTTTGTATATTGACCTTTATTTGCAATTTCTAAGCTATAATTAAGTGTATTTAAATAGAACTATTTTAAAACAGACAATGTTTAGCGAAAACATCATTAATTTTAAAAAATGTTGTTATTTTGTTGTTCTTTTCTAATTGTTTAAACACATTTGCGTTGATAGTTTCACATAGTCCCGTTTACGCAGAATGCGGCAAACATTCAGTCACAATCTGAAACAAAATTATTATTTTGCAGCCCTTGTCTGGTAGAAATTATGTGGTTGGCCCACCAGGGGTTCCAGGAACTCCCGGTATAAAGGGAGAGCATGGAGATCCCGGATTGCAAGTAAGATAGCTTCATTATCAAAAAATTGTAAACAGTGTCTCATTTCAAAGATAAGATATAGCTGAACGTGCACGACAAAAGAGAACTGCTTCCAAATGATATTTTATACAGTTTTCTTTTAGTATTAACTGTTTCAAAGAGTCCGTGTTTATCAACATTTGCTAAAATATAGCATGCTATGATACCAATGATAACAATATAATATTTATAGATGAATAAGCACTAATAAAAGGCGGCTGTTAAATCTTTTGAAACCAAAACTATGTCTGCACAGACTATTCAAATCTCTCTCAAAAGAAAGATACAAAACTTTTAAAGATAAATGTCTTCAAAATGAACTTGTTTTCTAATTTCTATGTGTCAACAAATGGATATTTTGACAGTGCAATGCAACAGCTCTAACACCGATTCGCGTTTTGTTCAAATGCGAAACAGTTCCACTTTAGGAGTCAACAACGTGTGTACGCATGATTTCATTCTAGCTTGGTTCCACAATACTAAATATCGGTAAACTTTAGACAGTTGCACAGCCCATTTTTGTATATGTAGATAAGAAAATATTGTCTTTCGATTTGAAGAAAATGGAAAAAAATGTTTTGGTACGAAGCCAGAAATAAAAAAAAAAATGGTCATGAAGTGTAAACCTGGCGTATGCGAATGGTTTTATGTACTTGTGCTTTAACTGAAGACTTGCAAAATAAATCGTGTCATTCCGCAGTAAATTATGCGTCTTATAAAAACCCGTATACTCGGCTGCTTTGAAGCCGTATAATAAAATAAAAAATTGCAGGGCTTACCTGGATTTGATGGGTTAGATGGGTCTCCAGGTGTAAAGGGAGAGCGTGGCTTAAAAGGGCGGACGGGTAATACAGGTTCGAAGGGCGATAAAGGACAAAGAGAATTTGTGGTGAGATACCTTCGTTACCAAAATATTTTAAACAACATCTTATGTTAAAGATAATATTTTGCTTAATTTGCAGGACCAAAATCTAATAATTGTTTCTAAACGATATAATTACAAAATTAATGTATACAGTTTTCATTAAGTATTTATTGTTTCGAAGATTCGATATTTACAAACCGAATAATGAAAAAAAACTTGCTGTTGTTTCAAAGAATTCGTGTTTACAAACGTTTGCTATAATATAGAATGCTTTGATAATAATATAATATTTATAAATGAGCACACACTTGTACAAACATTATTAAAAAATAAGATGAATTACTACGAAAACAAATTTGCAGGGTGAACCTGGCAGAGATGGGCTTCCAGGCTTAAAAGGGCCACAAGGCAATACAGGACCAAAGGGTGATCAAGGTGATGAAGGTCCAGCGCACAAACTCTCACAGACTGTAAGTGAGAATTATGATTTCAAGTGTTTTGTGAAATATAAAGCTAAACTAGACCTGCCTATTCTGATTGATAGAATCCATTATGCATCTATATTTTACCTTTAAGGGATTGGAATAACAATATATTTATATTAACGCAATTAGTTTTCACATTTTGTGCCTTAAATCAGTTCGGAGCTAGTTTACAGATAGTTAAAATGCAACGTATCATTTACCGTATAATCGATTTACAAAAGAAATAAGTTTTGTTTTTCATGTTTGAATAATACCTGTTTTATTGTTAAAAAATAAAAATTCCACTTCATCTTATGATTGAAACAAGGGCAACATTGTCGCAAAGTATGCCCGTCACAGAAGCTTTTGAGATATAGGCATTATAGATATGCATATAGGAGATATGCTCTGGGCAATATCCGGAAAATATATGGATATATTATCATCTCTAGTGTTTTTGACCTTCATATATTAACTTTATTTACATGTGTTACACTTGAACTCATGATAGTTATTGTTTGTGTGACCTCGACTTTGGTAGTAGGGACCTGGATTTTATGCGCAATATGCCTCACAATGATGAAAATTTGCGTCTAGGTACATTAAATTCCTCTGGTGAATGAAGAAGTTCGGCTCCGAACAAGCATTTTTCAATGACCTCTAAGTGTGACCTTAACCTTTAACCTAGAGACCTGGTTCATGTATTTGACACTGCTTCTCATAGTACTGAACATTCCTATGAAGCTTCATTTGAATCCCACAATGCGTGGAGAAGACAAGTTCTGGACAAAATTTCTTTATTTTATCATCTTTAGTGACATTGACCTTGTCTATATTAACCTAAATTACATGTTTCACACCAATTATTATGATAATGACCATTTGTGTTTCAATCCTTCAATAAATGATTACTAAATTGTCCGTAGATACATTTTCATGTTTTTATCAAAACTTTGACCCCTATGTATGACCTTGACCTTGGCGACAGGGACATTAATTTTACACATGACACTCCGCCTAAAAATGTGATCATTTGTGCCAAGTTATATTGAAATCCCTTTATGTGTGTAGAAGTTTTGATATCCTCAAAGTGTGACCTTGACCTTTGACCTAGAGATCTGGTTCATGCACATAACACTGCTTCTCAAAGTGGTGAAAATTTGTATGAAGTTTATTAGAATCCGTCTATATGTGTAGGAGATATGCTCTGGTTTTAATCTCTATGTTTTATTATCTTTAGTGACCTTGATTATCATCTTTAGTGACATTGACCTTGCATTTATTAACCTAAATTACACGTTTCACACCAGTAGTTATGATAATGACCATTTATGTTTCAACCCCTCAATAAATAATGACTAAATTGTCCGAATACACATTTTCATATTTTTATCTGAACTTTGACCCCGATGTGAGACATTGACCTTTGTCGCACGGACCTAATTTTTGCACGCATCACTTTGCTTTTCAATAGTGAACATTTGTGCCAAATTATATTGAAATCCCTCTATGCATGTAGAAGTATGATCCGGAAAAGCGTTTTCTATGACATCTAAGTGTGACCTTGACCTTTGACCTAGCGACAAGGCTTCTCATTGTGGTTAAAATTTCTATAAAAGTTCATTAAAATTCCTCCATGCGTGTAGGAGATGTGCTCCAAACAAAAATCAGACGCTGCCCGCCCAGCCGCCAGGGGAGAAACTATAATACGACCTGTTTTTCAAACGGGCGTATAAAAATGTTGTGATATGTCCTTACTGCTAGTATTTTAATGCCAAATTGCTTTAATTTAGCTGTTTTAGGCTAGCTTTTAGGTGTTTTAGCTGACAGGTGATTTTATTTTTGTATATTGACCTTTATTTGCAATTTCTAAGCTATAATTAAGTGTATTTAAATAGAACTATTTTAAAACAGACAATGTTTAGCGAAAACATCATTAATTTTAAAAAATGATGTTTTTTGTTGTTCTTTTTTAATTGTTTAAACAAATTTGCGTTGATAGTTTCACATAGTCCCGTTTACGCAGAATGCGGCAAACATTCAGTCGCAATCTGCAATAAAATGATTTTTTTGCAGCCCTTGTCTGGTAGAAATTATGTGGTTGGCCCACCTGGGGTTCCAGGAACTCCCGGTATAAAGGGAGAGCGTGGCGAATCCGGATTGACAGTAAGATAGCTTTATTATCGAAAATTGTAAACAATGTCTCATTTTAAAGATAAGACATAGCTGAACGTGCACGACAAAAGAGAACTGCTTCCAAATGATAATTTATACAGTTTTCATTTAGTATCAGTTGTTTTATAAATTCTGTGTTTATAAACATTTGCTAAAATATAGCATGCTATAATAACAATATAATATTAATAAATGATCAAGCGCGTGTGTAAACATAATTCAAAACAAAAATGTAATGAATTACTATGAAAACAAATTACAGGGTCCACATGGGCTACCAGGTTTGAGCGGACTTCCCGGTTTTAAGGGAGAGCGTGGAAAAAGAGGACCAAAAGGACACAAAGGAGACAAAGGTTCATCTTAATCAAAAGGTTCGAACGTTTGGGAAATCATTATGGAACAACAACCCACAGATTTTTAATTTAATAAAAGAATTGTTTTGTATTTAACCCCAAATGTTTGCATTGTTGAGGTACACATTATAAACAGCAAAATATAAATATCATTGTAATCACGATGCTGACTTAAATGGAATATGATAGTAACTGTAATAATGGATTATAGCGTTCATCATAAATTTCAAAGAAAATTATGTTTTAACAAATATTTAATGTTTTGTAAATACGTCTTTTTTGACAAATTAAAATGTGAACAAATGCGTTAATATCAAGCCATTTATTTTAAGTACAATTATTTTCTTGACAAGGACCTACATATTTTACAGGTTACCATGAGTTGTCGATGAAAAAAGGGATTACAAAAAACAAAACATTCTAATACCCTTTTTTATAAACAAACAGGTTTTAGTATTCTGTTCCATAAATTTAAATAATACACTGTTTAAAATCAAACGAATTAAAATTGCTGAAATCAGTCTAAATATTGTCAACACTTTCAGTTAAGGCAACATTTACAAAGTAACTCTTAGCCCTTATTATGCTGGAGCCGGAATAGATTGGCATTCGTCAACATAATTAAAAGAAGCCAATCTGCAGTTTATCTCTATCCTGTTGGATGACTAAATGTTCATCTTGATATCCCAAACCATTGACAATGAAAGCTGATGAAATCTTTAAGGGTTAATGCCTGAATTAAATGAATACATTCATACTACATGTTTAATCATAGAAATGCATTCTGAATAAATATACGTCTTTGAAATTCTAAGGCGTCGATGTGTTGATTTTCTGATCAATAAAACAAAATCTAGGATCGTCACTAACCAAATGGATGAGAACAAACACAATCTAAGTTTTATAATGTAACATGCAAAGTGACAATGAAAATGAATCACTAAAAGAAGCCATAATATTCTGGCAACAGATATATATCTTTACTGTAGGAACAGGTGCAGAAAAAAGTTTCAAAGTTGTGTCGTGTAATCCATTAAACTGTTTTTTTGTAAACTTTACTGTATTGTATAACAAACGAAACGAACATTTACAAATATTGTAGAGAAAATGCATTGCTTTGGTTGTTGAATTGCATTGCATTCCGTTTAATTGACAATAGTAATACAATAAGTCAATTTGTTATAAAAGATAATATAACTTCTGTTGTAAATTTTTCGTCACTTATATATCTAGTGTTGTAAAGATATACAAGATTAAAACATACTAAAGATATGTTCGATTAAATTCAAAATTAATTGTCATGCACACATTCAGATTGTTGTATATCAATACAGATTTTAATGTGATGTTAATAGGTTTGTTTGTACTATCTTCAAATTAAATCTTGAATATTCAGCGATGCCAGGGATCGTATTTACTCCTCTTATTGTTGAGAATAATTATAAAAGTAAGTAATCGGGTTATATATATTATTAGATATAGACCATTAAAGTTATTGTGTATATGTAGCTTGACATCTAAAAAATACAACACAAGATTTATTTTGTATTTTATTATCTGAATAATTTTATATGCATGGACCTTGTATTAAAACCCAAAGAAAATATCCTAATCTTTATTTGTTTGTAGATGTAAAGTTGTTTTATGTTAACTTGATTTTTGGTAGCCATTTTCATGAAATGTGTAATGAACATTAATCAATTATTCAATTTTTATTAAACATTAGTGACACAAAAGGTTTTTACAAACCCACTTATAAAAATCAACACAAAACGTTTTAATTTGCATTGACATAAAATTACGTATTATTTACATTTGAAAAGGGTTGCAAAAATATACATGCCAATAGCTTATCAAAATAAAGAAATTTAAGTAGTTAAGACATTTTAAAGCAAAATGTCACAACCGTTACATCAATTATATAATTCAAGATATTTGTAATATTTTATACAATCATGAAAAATGAAGGTAATAAACTGATTTATTTGTTCCAATTAAAACAAACACTGTACATGATAATAGATCATACCTTATCCGTAAAAATTACTTGCTATGGAGACGTTCGGTTAACTGTGTAATATTTGTACTAACAAAACTCACAATTTTCCAAACATAACCCATAAATTTTGACAGTTTCTGCAAAATATCAGAATAACATGATTTCGTTGAAGTAAATTCTATTTGTCTTTCTTGATGGCACCGCATAATATTAAGATAATTATGAGTACGAAATATTTCTCATGTATTATATAGGTTGCAAAGTAGAAAAAATTAACTTCTGGGTCATTCTATTATGTTTAGTACAATTAAAACTTTTTCCTTTAGCATTGTTTATTATCAATAACATTTTGCACAAAAGGCGGGAATCTCTCATGTAATAAGAATTCAAATTCAATGATTTTTATGATAAATAATTTTGGTTTACTAAAATGTTCTTCAAATCTAGCAGCGGTTGTTGCAGTTCCCTTTTTTTCATCACCTTTAATTCGCTTAAAAATGAACAATTATATATTTCACCTTTAAATGTCAATACAGTTATTGTGTTAGACAAATTAAAGTTTTTGTTTCTTCATACTTTTATAC